CTCCGTGTGCCAGAAGAAGGCCAAGGAGCACAATGAGCGGGACCGCAAGGTGTACGCCAACATGTTCAAGAAGTTTGCAGAGCAGGACGCCAAGGTGTGTGCCAGGCCCTGACCGAGGCTTGCCCAGCAGAGCGGACAAGGTCGGGTGGCCACCCTGAGAGAAACAAGGCTAAGGAAGAGACTCCAGTGTGGCCAGGGGCTGCTGGGGGTGCACGGGGCGGGGGGGGGGGGGGGGGGGGAGGGAGGGTCCAACACTGTGCTGAGGCCTTGCGTGTCCCTGGAAGAGTTGGGGAAGCTAACTCCTTGAGACGTAGCAAAGCTCTTGGTTTTTGCTTTGCTTTGTTTTGTTTTTGCAAGACTCTACAGACCTGGCTAGCTTTATCTCAGAGATCTCCTGCTTCTGCCTCATGAGTTCTAGGATTACAGGCTTCTGTCACCAAACCAAGTTAGCTTGTTATTTAAAAATAACAATTCAGCCAGGTGGTGGCGGTGCACACCTTTAATCCCAGTGCTTGGGAAGCAGAGGCAGGTGGATCTCTGAGTTCAAGGCCAGCCTGGTCTACAGAGTAAGGTCCAGGACAGCCAGGGCTACACAGAGAGACCCTGTCTCGAAAAGAAAGAAAAATGCTCAGCCCATCAGTATTTTTTCCAAGTAACAGTTTCTGGTTGCAATGTCCAGCTTGACTCGGAGACAGTCCCTTTACTGTACACACTACCTTGTGTGTGTGTGTGTGTGTGTGTGTGTGTGTGTGTGTGTGTGTGTGTGTGTGCGCGCGCACGTGTGGCACGCTGGCAGGAGACTGAAGCCAGGTCAGCTTCTTGTCCCACAGTCATCCTCTGCTCCCAGTTCTGTCCTCGATGCCCAGCTTCCTCTAGCACAGGACTCAATTAGTCAACAGCCACCTCAGATAGCAAGCTCTTCTGTTGCACACCACCACCTCCACTTCCCAACTGTGCGCCCCCAAAACAAGCATACACAGTTATTGCAGACCTGATAGACCCATTTTGGGGAGGCAGTGGTTAATTTCACCTCCTCCACCTTGAACCCTCAGGAAGCAGCCAGCAAAGCGGTGAGCAAGAAGCCTGTAGAAGGAGCGGCCGGGAAAAGATCCGAGAGTCGGGCCATGGAAGGAGGAAAGGCCGAAGGCCATGTATGACGCCGCGCCAAGGAGGGAAGAGAGTCCTCATGAACTCG